CAATCTGCACCGCCAGGAGATGTAAAAGACCAGGAAGGAAGTGTTACCAAAGGCAGTTACGCAATAATTGACCCAAATGGTAATAAACACATCGTGCATTATACCAGCGATGGTCGTAACGGTTTTAGTGCCGTAGTGGAAGATGAAGCCGAACCTGGCACTACAACACCTCCCCAACACAATMATAAAAAGGATGAAACAAYTCATGATCAAAAAAAAGAAAAACAAGCARCCAAAATACAATTTGTTCCGGTMCCGGTTTATCAGCCACAAGTTTCACCACGGGGAAATTTTTACYGCACACCTTATTACCCATATAGGGGGTATTATCCCAACACATATCGGACCCCTTACGGCTATCCTGCACGCTATTATTAATTGATTCAACTTGTAGAAAAAATTGGTGTAATATTTAAACGTTAAAATTGTAGTTGATTTAGAAATGCAATCCGTTGTGGCTGAGTTTTATTTCACTTTTTCAACTTAAATATTATTTAATATCAAACTATGAAAATAATTTAATTTTATTATACGCATTTTAAGACTTAGTTTATAAATCAACTTGTAGAAATTTTTCAGGCTTCACTTCTGGCAAGTCCTCAGCTAAACTCAATTTTTCCAAATATTTAACTACAAAAAAATCAGTTTCAACGTAAATTGCTGCTTAGTTACAAAACTTACGATTCGCCAATTCCTCTTCGTCACATGTTTCACTTAATATAGCCAAAATTTCCTTGAATTGASCAAACTCTTTAACGTATTTTTGCGTCAATTCGTACGAGTTGAAACTTAGCAAACTTAATATCTTCATGCCTTTTTTACGAATTAGCTTCGTTCCGGTAAGGTTTTCACGACAATTTTTCAAACTTCGATAAATGATAGCAATACTTAATTTGTATAATTGGGATAAACACCGACAGCTGAAAAACAAAAAATTACAATGAAATTACTAACGTAACAAAAAATACATGTTTGTCTCCTGGTGTAACAACGAGTTGTTTTCTTTAAAAATATTGTAAATGAAACCTAAGACATTGGAAARCACAAGTGAAAGCATTTTTTGGTCTTCTATTTGTTGGAAGTTTTTTTCCAATAAAACCATAAATGCATGGAAACTACAAACACCTATATAAATGTGTAAGAATAGTAAAAAAAAATAAAATTACCCTTAGTTGATTTCTCTTCTTCACTGGACTTACAACAAAATGAGTAATTAAAATTTGGGTTTTGTGTGGTCATTTTAAGAAATAAAGTAAAGTCCACGATAATTTCAACATCATTAAACAAAAGTAATTTTTTGGTAACTGTTTCGTAAAACTCTTTTCTG